TGTATGTTATAGCTTTCTGAGAGCAGAGGAAAATACTTTCATCACGTTTGTCGATAGTTGTGTAATGACAAGGCGCTCTGGATGCTGCAGTTGGTGCATACCTGCGTAATAAGTGATCCGTGTACATTTTCTGCGCCGGAGAAACGTTAATAACGCGATATAAGAGGAACCACCACGCCTTCACTCTCTACGAGATCGTTCGGACAGTCAATTCCACTGTCAGAAATTAAAGTCATGAATATTGCGTAATTTTATATTTAAAATAAATTTGTGAGTGAAAATATAGTACACAAAATAAGGATCTGTGAAGCACGACGTTCTATTAATATAAAAAAGACAGTTCCAGTAACACTCTCTCTCTCTCTTTTCATAGTTCCACAGTTCTATATAAAAATAAAAAAAAGTTCCGTATTTTTTATTTTTATTTAGAATATTTATTTATATTAAATTATTTATATTTTTTTAAGTATTTATATTTTTTTATATTAAAAAATCAAATATGAAAATATGGCGTGCTATTCGCGAATCTTGCAAGACACTTTTTACTCTAAAATACAAGAAAACGATAAATATATTATCACTTTTAACAAAAGTTTCCGTTAGTTTCCGTTACTACTATAGTTCTAATAATATATACGTTGAAAACAAAATTCCAACATTTATCAATTTTTATACATTTTATATATAGAAGACAGAACAATACTTGGAGAAAGTATTGTGCTGATTGCTTGTAGCTTCTAGAGACAGTTCTGGGGTTAGTTCTAGAGTTCTATGCTCTACAATCATTTTTAAACAGAGTTTTGGCCGCTATATATATATATATATTTTTTTTTTGTTTAATTAATTTTTTAAACTGGATCTAACATGAGAAGTAGAAAAAGTGTAACACTAGAAAAAAAAATTAACTTTATATTTATTTGATTGGAATTAGAGTAGTAAAAAAATATCGATATTAAAAAGATTTGCTTGAAGAAGAACATAATTTAAAAAATTATGAAGATCAGTTCTAAGTAACATAGTATTTGAATACTGACTTTCAATGCTTAAGTACTCTCGTAATCCTCATTATCTTATTAATGTACCGTTTGAAACACCTTGTATGGAGTTCTTATACTATTCGATAAAAGGCAGAGCCAGTTTGTATTATATAATTAGTTATAACTTTCACTGCAATTTATTAATTAGTAATTGCCTCTAGCTAGTAGATAATAATCGAGTTCAGAAAAAAATAAAACATAGAGATTTAATTCCTATCCTACTGTATATAATATAGTAATGTTATTTATGAGCAGTGTTCGATTTAATCGAATTTCTGAAACTTTCATAGACATTTTTATGTTAGAACATACATTCGTGGATATACTTCTTTAAATTTAGTTTCGCTAATCTACAATTGTCATTTCGAAGTAAATTTATAAATCCAATTATCGATTGTAGCCGATAACAATTACATCGTTTATCTGTTTGCGCTTATATATAGAAGGTGTCAATTACCAGAAGCAATGGCTTAAAGCGTATACCTCAACGGTTTTTTGTTATCATTGTGATTTGAGGATCACGACCGGCGATCTGACCAGACAGGCCGGCAATGCATATTCCCCTAAGCAAGTGATGTCATTCCTTATAAGCATACACTTTGAATTCTGCTTTTTTACGGTCAATCACGTATTGCTTCGATGATCTTTGTACATCGTATTAGGTGTTGGAATTAATTCGTAGCGTTTTACAAGTGATGGGAAGTACTTTCATTAATGTATTTTTTAATGCTCATGTGAAATAAATAACATTCTTTCATTAAAAAACGCTACGAATTAATTCCAACACCTAATATATTTTTGTATATTATATTAGATCCTTTGATAATGAAAGATTACAGATTAATTTGGAAATAAGATGTGATTTGCGTGGTTATCCCTTGTGATAATTTTATTTTTCAGCGGGGGCTATAATAGCGATAAAAACGGGTTTCGCTCGAAAAATAAGATTAATGGAAGGAACTTGTCACACAAAATACTTCATTATCGCAAGATTGTAAAGCAGAATTAGCGAAACGCGTGTTGAAAACAAAGTTTTATTTAATTTATACACGAGTGTGCAAAGCATAATTATTACGAATGTATTTTAGATAAATGATTAAAATATGAAAATATAAAGTTAATAAGATAATAAAAATAAGAAGTACATAAAAAAAGTCAAATCTAATATACGTATTTTTTTTTGTGAAAGTTTAACTCACCATGATCGAAAAATTAGACCTTGCATATTATTTATCGGTGATGTTTTTAATTTTTTAAAAAAGCGATTTTTTGAAATTATTTGAAAATTATTGAAAATATTTTTGCTGTTCCATAACTCGATAATACGTTAATCATTGTTGATTGATACAAGTTTATTGATGAATAATAATTGTTTGATAAAGGATTTTACATTTTTAAAAAATTTACATAGCCTAGTGCGAATAACCTAATTGATTTTGAATTTTTCGATTGAGACATATTATAGTAATAATTACTCAGTAGGGAGATATTAATCTATAGTGACATGTCGAGACGGCCGCGACACAATGAATTGACAGGTCGAAATGAATCGTGTGGATACAATCGCATGTGTCTGCCGGCTACCTTTGGTACCTCGTAAAATTAGAGCTGATCTAACCGAACAGGATCTCGGTGACTCTGGTGTGCCTACGCACAACGGAATCCATGGTCGATCGCAGTACGGTTATCGGCATATTGAGTATCAATGATTCACTCTTGGAATCCTCGGCGTGGTGGTCTCGCGATGAATCAACCGGTTGCAAAGCTGATTTACACGTTCCTGAAAACGCGGTCAATAAACTAATGGACTAATATTAGATTTTATTGTGAATATGCTAATATTAGATTTTATTATGAATACCGCGCTATTCGCACGACGTTACCTTCTGCTTTTACGTAAATCTCGCGCGAATCCTTGTAGTCTACGAAGCATTATTTTTTTATGAGACCGGGAAGTTATTACTTTTTTGATCGCCTATTAATGCATATGTTGATGCTGTCTAGCACAACAATGTAGCCAAGTTTGTTTTGTCTGAAAGGATTCGTTTGGCTGAGAATTAATTTAAACTGTATGGAGATTTGTAGTTCCTAAAAAAGAAATTGATTAATAATGTCGAAGATGCAAGGTTAAAAGAGCCCAAAGGCCATTGAAAATATTATGATGAGTATTATATTATGTAAGGAATATTAAATCGAAGAACTATAAAAAGAAATATTTTCTACATCTATACATCTATATTGCAATAAAATTTTTTATATATCGATTTAATAACTATTTTTTTTAATTTTATTTAAAAAAAATTAAAATTAGTTTTTTATTCCAATTTGCGTATCTTTATTATTTAAAGATGTGAGAGAACTATTTTGAAGAAGCAAAGAAAACTATATACTTATTTCGACAAGTGTTAAAAAATTCACGAATTTTGCAGTTTATTTTAAACTCTTGGTTCTTTTAAAGCAATAATCGCATATGCTCGCGTATTATGATGAATCATTCGATTATAATTATTGCGGCAAGATCAGATACGGCTTTCTGCGCCGTTATTTATCTACGAAAACAAGAATCTGGTGCAACATGTGTTTGCACGAAGCGGTCTCGTCGAGTGTACGGTATTATATAGCTCCATGTCCTAATTGCAGCGATCGTCTCGCCTTCTTGACATTGACAGGTTACTGATACGGAAAATATCTAGTGCTATCTATCTGACGAGCGACGTGTGATGTGCTCAGCACGGCGAGAAATGAAAAACCTCAAGCCGGGTATCTTCGCCCGTTATTACTTGGAAAAGGGTCGACTTTTTGCCATGCATGCACTTGCAATGATAACGATCATGCAGGTGACATAGTTCGGACGTGCCGCGATTATGTCATCAGTCGCTCCAGGAACGTTACTGCTATGGTTATACCGCATCAGACTTCCCGTGGATCAGCATCGAGACACCTGCAAGCGTTATCGTCTCAGTTTACCCCTCTTCTCGCTTCCTCCCACCCTTCGTACATGAGCCCTTATCGGTGATGTTTACTTTAACTGCGTCATTCATAACGTTGCACCTAGGCGTTTGCAAATAATCTCGCCAAGGGGATTCACTACATTCTCATCGTGCTCGTATACAATGTTACTGAGAAATCAGTCTGATAACTTCGTGATTTAAAGTAGTTTATCGTTATCAACATCACTGAGAAATAAATAGTTCTATTATAACGTTTTATATATAAGATAATAGAAGATAAACACAATTTTCTAAACGTTTCGATTAAAATGTACTGAGCTTTTATAGTAGAACAGTAAAACGATAGATTTATGATCCGATGCTATCTAGCTGTTACAAGATTGACATAATAATAAAACAAAGTGTCGATGGAAATAGATTTGATTAGTCATCTGTTTATTTCTTATGATTAGAATGAATTATGTTAGGTTATAATCAGCCTTATTTGTAACATCTTTATATTGTTTTATTACACTATCAGAATGTAATATTTTATATATTTTTATAGCTTATTTTTAAATTATTTCAACTATTTTTGATATAAATTTTAATTTTTAAACTCTTAAGAAATGACAGATAATATCAAATTCTCTCTCTCTCTCTCTCTCTCTCTCTCTCTCTCTCTCTCTCTCCTCTTTCTTTCGTCAACGAAAATTTACTAAAAAATTGTTTATATGTTATCTGTGCTATTTCGTAAAATATACATACATATAGTGCATAATTATTATACAACTGATACCATCAAAACATTTCAAAATACTCATAAACATGATCATAACTCATCGAATCTGTTCATCGATCTTATCAACATTTCTTATCAGCGAGTGTCAAGTACTGTGTGATTATTATTTGTAATTCATCGAGTGAGACTTATATCCGTTGCATCTAAGTGAGCGTCAACCGCGGGGAATTTTCTTTATAAAGCGATGAGATATACTTGCAAACTCATTATTTGCTTAGTCCCGGTAAAGTTCACGTTCGTAAGAGATCAAGCAGAGTTCGATGACAAGCAGCGGAAATCGCGATTTCTTTCTCTCGACTCACCGCGATGACGTCGATGCATCGCAAAAGTATAGACGGTAAAATCCGTCCGGCATTAACGAGTTTATTCGCTCGCATCAAGAATAGGTAGGAATGTGAAGAAGAGAGCTTCTCGCCCTGTTTCACCTGGTAAGTTTATATGAAAGACACACCGTGGGCGGTTCACGAAAAGCCACCTGACGTAATGCTAGCGTGACGAACTGGTTATGCTCACGAAGCGATACTCAATGTCGCTCTTTGTTTACTGTTTAAACATCTTAATATCGTGCCTAGGTGCTTCATCCTATCAGACTTTCTGTCTGTCTCCACATCTTGTCTTTTTCTATTTCTCTAACGCTATTTCTCTTACTCTTGCAAACAGAAGTTTATACTTTGTGATAGTAATCAGGGTATACTCTCTACCGACGATTACATTATTTGTTATTTATACATAAAATGCACGTAGGTTAAGAATATATCATGTAAATATTGTTTTATTAATCCGGCTATATCAGGTTCGACTACATCAGATCTGATATAACCAAGTTAAAACAGAGAAGCGATGCGAAAGAGTACTGAGGAAGCAATAAAATCTCGTTCTCCATCTACCCACATCCAACAATACGCTACCACCAGTCGCAATGACGTCATTGTCGTGAATGCATTCACCCATCCCACATTCCTCGTGCTTCTCGTTCCTTTTGAGTTCCCCCGTGAGTGATTATCAATATAAAAATGCGGGCCGAATTTTGCACGATAAATCTGGGGGGAAAGTGAGGAGCCGCGTATCGTCAGGAATACCAATCAGCCGGTCGGACTAGATGTTTGCTCCCGATCTGCATAAAGATCGAGGCACGCCGAAAATTATGCCGAAACACACCGGTTACGATGCTCTCGCTGCAGCCTCGCGATCCATCTCGCTCGACTGTCTCGCCCCTTTTCTTTTTATCCATCGAAGGGTGGGTCCATCGAAATCGTTTTCTCGAATAAGAAGTTGGCGCGAAGTTGGCGCCCGAGCTTTGATATTTATATTTTCTCATTGCACAGAAGAAGAGAAAAATTCAATTTTTTTTATATAACTAAATATATCTGTAAATTTCCGTAATGTTTAGATTTATTTAACATGATATTATTTAATAAGAAGGATAAATTTATTCAAGATGTAATTAGCATGCAAATGATCATTTGTATGTAAAAAGATATTTAGCAAGTTTTATATAATGGCGATGACTAAGTTACATAATTGTTTAATACTTTTGCATATTCGACTGTTCGCATTAATGTGCGCATTCATGGGGCGGTACGCGCGAGACAGGTAACTGTAATCGCGAATATTTGAAGGCGGTACCAAACGGTTTGAACTCTTTCCTATATCCACCGATATACAATTATCCAACAGCCATAGCATGCCGCCGAAGGCGAACATCTGGAGCTAGCTCTTTGGGTCTATTTGTCACTGAATGGACATTAAGCAACGTCGCAAAAGAGAAGTCGATTTGTAAGCAAGGTGGAAATCATTCTTAGTCGGATAATCGTGCGAGGAAAGAGTAAGTTGCCGCAAAAACATAACGTTCTTCGTAGAAAATACTTTTACACTGCAGAATGCCAATCATCATAAATAACTTTCGTTTCACGATCACATTAATGATTGAAGAGAGAGATAGTGATCGTGACAAAGATAAACAATGTAGATTATTTAAGAACACTTGGTAAAATATCTTTTATTCAAGCAAAGTATTTGTTAATTATCTAATCTAATAGGATCTTGAAAAAAATGATAGGGCCCGAAGCAAAGTCATTAGAATGTATCAGATTGACATTATCGGATTGGAAAGGAACTCGTTGTGGGTGGAAAATTATCCTCTGCTCACTCCAGGAGTACAAAACATTAATTTATCTAGTTGACAAGAATTATTAACGTCTCACATATGTTAGATCTCATCTAAGATCTAGGACAGATTTTACGTAATATAACGGAATGTATCAAGTGCACTTTTTCGACTTCTTAAACTAAACATATTGTGGCATTAATCGAATAGCTAATTGAGTAGCATATAAATCAAGCTATAGCTATAGCTTATATCGAAATTATAAGAGCTATTTTATTAAATCTTTTACCACGTAAAAGTTAGACTTAAGTTATAACTCTGATAGAAATAAGGAGTAATAATTATTGGTCAACAGTGTTTTTATGAATGTTGTTATGAAAAGCCTTTTCGAGATTTTATAAGCTAGTCGTAATAATATTTTATAGTTTTCTGCATTTTAATTCTCTTTTTAATTTAATTTTTTAGATTTTATATAACAAATTTATTAGTTCCTTTTCGTAATTTTTCAAACTGAAAGTGTTGTTTTGCAAATATATATGAGTGTTAGTTGCGGATAAATGTTTGCGTCGTCGTTACAGAATGTGAAAAATGCATTGTGAAGACGTTGAGTTAAAATCCCCGTAAATCATATGCTACATAAAGAAGTGATACTTTTATAACCCACTTGAGGAGACCATCGTCATCAACGTTCGAACGGATTAACTTGATCACCGAAGAATTCATCTACCTGCGGTTTTTGAAAGTCGACACGACCATTCGCTAAATCCTCACGATTGACGCAACCGTCAGGATATTTCTTCAATGGTGTAAATGTACAAGCGACAAGCCTGACGAGAAGTTGCCAGTCGCAAAATGTAAACGCGAATAACCGCAACTGTTACAATATCGGCGCATTGCGTGCCATTTTCGGTAGTAAGCCGCATCGTTTAAGTATCATGTGGCATGCAATGAAAGTGGATTAGCATTACGTGTACATTGTTATCCTGAAAAATGTACGATCGTACATTCGACTTTTCGACGCCTCAGAAATCGAGCCCGACTCAATGGTTCGCTGATTTTACCCTAATCTCTCTTTACGAAGTTCACTTACTCTTTGTATTGCGAATAATCTTAAGATCATCTTCTTTATAAACGTGCATCTTTTTGTGATTCCTATAAAGTCTATATGTGGTTGCATCGAGGATCCAATTGTAAAAAATAGGTAGAATACCAATTAAATAATGCGAACGTTACAAATTTTTTATATCATTCATATAATATTTTTATTCTATGTTTTAAGCAGTAAATCAATTTATTCTGTTATCCAACGTTAGTAAAAACAGAAGACAATATATTTCTGAATCATTTCTTGCATTAAATTTTGTTGCATGTGCTTTCGTTCGTTAAATATACTAATTATAATTAATTTGTAATGCGTCGTCTATGAGAAGAAGAACTCAATCCCTGTTGCATTCTCTTCAACTTGAGCGGACACGATAATCAGATTGGAAATTCATGCAAGTGTGTTAGTCACTAGCAGAAGCTAAAAGAACGACGTTGACCTGATTCTGGGGTAAAATTCGTTAAGCGGTAAAAAGTTGTTGATTAGAAAGCGGCATCTTATAGGGCCAATTCCGAGTTCGACCGGCGAGCTCTCGTTTCGATACGGGGAAGAGTCTCAGTTCCGCGGGAGACCAACCGCAAAAGAAGACAAGACCGGACGACTACCTTAGTCCAAGGACCAAGGACACGGCGGAGCATGGCATAGACGGCCACCCATACTGATCCATCCGTGGTCCGGGGTTATGTTCCCACGTACGGCGCCCCGGGCAGTGGGTTCTGGCAAAACTTCCAGAGACCCAAATTAAAGCCATTGGCTGCCTCCTACGAACTGTTCGTGGCCAGTCCATCGATGGTGCATAATTAAAGGAACATCATGTAATTGGAAGCTTTGCCTTTGTTCGCTATTCTTCTGCTGCCATTACGCTCCATTACGCGCCTTGCTCCGAATTACGCGCATTCGCGGTGCATGAGACCGTGCGTTTCAGCAATATGTGCAAGTCAAAATTAAATTAATGATCAAGATGAATTAAAACTTGCACGACATGAGATATATCGGCAAAATGACGAATCTATTTAAAGGCTTGTATAAACTTACAAACGCTCTCTGATCTTGCCGTTCCTTTGTCAAGTACAAGTCCGATTCGTGGCTGTATAAGGTAGATGCGGTCATCGGGTGTTCCAACGATTAAAAAAAAGCACGAGGACATTCTACAAATCATAAAATATGAAATATATCGTCAGGAGACCATTGAGTTAGGAATCTATTTGGTTGCGGACCGCTGGAAGACTCATGGAAGAATTTGTGTTCGTTTGAGAGGGTTAGTACTGGCCGAAGCAGCAGAAAACGACAAGCGATCGCGGCTAGAAAAGGATCACCTACTAATATTTTTATTGGCCGTAAAAATCGCGCTGTAACCGAACATCGAATGCGCCATGAAACGGGATTGAAAATGGGGATATTCTCAATCGTTATCCGTGACAAAGAAGATCGCCCCGAAGTCGATAATCCCCTTATCAGCGAGACGTAAGAATCAAGGTTGCAGGCTGGTAGAGTGTCGACTAGTCATCCATTATACTGTTTCTTATTATTTCGAAGATATGTCGAATTTATAATCGATTGCATTTTAATTGGAGCATGAAAATAATTTTGATGCTCCAAAAATCTTGAGATTAAGACAGAATCTTGATAGATTTCTTTACAGTGATGCGAAGAAATTATTAATGTATTATTTAAGCAAAGGATAAAATTTCGCATAATCTTTAATGCATAAACCTATATTTTAATTGAAATAAACGAGTTTATATGTAAGTAATATGGTTAAACATTTTATTGATCAATTTATCTTAACGCTACTTAGATTCAACGCTGACATTTAATCGCCGAGCTAAACATACGTGATGGAACTGATGACTTGACGTTGGCATATTTGACTACATATATGTATATTACGCGTTGTATACATGCCGTCAACGCCAGTCGTTGAGCAACCGAGCACATTGAATCCGTATTAGTATGTAAATTATGCAGATTCATGAGACTGCATTAATCTTCGATGCATTCCTCGGGGGATTTGTCCTACTTTATTTGTTTTTGTTACACTTATATAAGAAAATAAAATTTTGCTTCCTTATTCACTTCAACTTATATTTTACAGTTAGATTTTAGATTTATATGTAAAGTAATATTTAAATGTACTTATATAATAAGGTTTTGATTTTAATTAATATTTGTATACAAATTTTTCATGAAATATTAGTTTTATAAAAAAAAATACAAGTAATCACATTTTATATTTAGTGTGTTTCTAAATCGAGATATACTTTTAACAAGAAAATCAATAATGAATATATATAATCATATTACAAAACATAAATGAAGTAAAAATTCTTTAAAAATTTGTGTTTATACTTTGAAAGGAATTCTAATTTATAAAAAACAGTAAAAGAAATTCTAATTTACAAAAAAATCTCGGGCATACTTTCCGTAAAGTCTACAACAATGCGGCGGATAATGCAACGAGATGAACGCAATACGTACTTACTTAGTGATCACTTTTCGTGGAAGTGAGTCGGCAAGAACTATCGGCTTGCAACTCTGCGGCACGAGGAAACGATCGCCCATAAAAGTTCTAGGTAACGCGGACCTTTCCCACGATTTATTTAGGTGCTTGAACTGGCTTCGCGTCCCCGTCGCGGGGAAGAGTTATATACATTGTACGACCTCCCAACGCTGGTCCGCGATCTTCTTTTATGAAATTTTAAATCATTCGATTCGGGAATCGCGCACTATTTATTACCCATTCGAATGTGTGACGTGTCCTATGGAAGATCGCGCCCAAGTCGGGCAACTCCGCCTGCACAAACCAATGTAAAATATCCCTGACAGGACGCAGCGAGACATTTACACGCATTCAATGCAATTTATTATGTTATCACGAAATCCAATTTATATATCTCGCACAATGATATTACAAAAATTTGATTAAAAGTAAATTTTGCAATTATATATCCTCTCAGTATACATTTATCTTTTTTTTGTAAATGGGTGATTGATTGTTGATTTGTTAAACGTTAGTACACTATATAGAATCGGCAACACACTTTGTTTTAATTTTCTGACTTTTCAAAATCATTATACTTGAATTATGATGCTTCTATATTTAAATTTATTTTTTATTTTTTAAACAATATTGCAAATAAATTGCAACTTAAAATTTGAAAGATCTAAGAACACAGAAATCTTCATTATCGGTTAAGTATCTTCTGACAGTTGCTGCAGTTGTCACGGTGGAGACTCTTTCTTGTATGAACTTTATTTTATATATCGAAAATTAAAAAAAAATTAAATACACTTATTTGTTACAAATTTTTTTTCCACTAAAATACGATTGTATCGAATAGAAAATATTTTAGAAAAATTATAAAATTTTATTTTATATAAAAATTAAATTTTGTTGCCTTTGACTATATTTAATTGTATTTTATATAAGTAAGAACAAAATGGAGGTATATAATAAATTAAAATTAAATTAAAATTAAATTAAAATTAAATTAAACAAACTTAACTTGAATTAAATTAAATACATCGATACGATTGTAAAAATTTTATTAAAAAATAATTAAATTAAATACGTGCAATATATGGCGCCTGGTAAATGCAACCAGATTCTCAGGACTGTTTTCTAGAAAACAAGTTGAAGGAGTAATTTAGAGAATAACATGTCAAAAAATTGAAGGAGTAATTTAGAGAATAACATCATAAAAAATTAATTACATTTTATGTAGCTGCAAACAATTGTATCTATATGTCAAATTTTACACATACATTGTATAATTTAAAAATACATTTTCTTATAAAAAAATGATTGAAAAATTGATAATTCAAAAAAAAATTATAAATAATTTATCTTCATATTATTCTTAATCATTCTCAACAATACATTATAATAATAATCGGTCATAATAATTTTATATTATTTGTGTTTATTTAAGTTTCTTCAATTTCAACGATCTTTCCACGGTAATAAATGTGCACGAAGGTAGCCATCAGTTCTAAAATTTCTCACCGGTTACTATAAATCTGGTCGATTGTGTCGGGCGTCTTGGGAAAGTATGCCTTATCTATGTTCTTATTTGGTGTCCGGTGTGTGCTTCGAATGCAAAGCCGCCGCCGCCGTCGAGTTATCGTCGCATAAGCATCTCCCACGAGGCGGTTTGTTTTATACGCAATTACTTGATGACTCATTTCTATAATTGGGGTATATTTTTCCGAAATTTATTGACGACGGGACCTAGCAGCCAGTGAGATTAGCATAAACCGAGGATGACTTACTCGGTCTGTCCACCAGCGACATTTTAACGAGCGTAAACTTGCTCGGCTTTATTTATCATCCGTGTTATCAGTCTTTTCTACCTCGCATTTTGCTCTGCGCTCCCATAAGCCTTTGTAACCAGAAGAAAACGCGGCGGTGCCTCCGTTTGACATTTGATCGCGCTTTTAACTGACCGAGGAGTTTATATCATAATCTTTCATTTATATGTAGTGATCCAAGATCATAACGTATAATTTACAAATTGTATTAAATTTCTTTAAAAACATAAAAATTAAAATAGGATAATATTGCCATATATAAAACTTCTCTTTAAGTTTATAAATTTCTAAGTTGCTACAGTTGAAAAGTTATGGAGCTGCAGCAGTAATAATATATTTCTGAAATTAATCTTTTGTAATCATTCAGACGGACATTAGCAATCCATTAGCGATGATAGGCTGAGTATGGCGGATATTTACTAGAAAAAAATAAATTGAATAAGGGAAGAACTTGATCTCTTCCATTCGAAGAGATTTCAACTGTGGGAGTTTCAAGTCATTCGTAACAGCGACTGGTACTTAAGCACGGCACCTTTTCCTTTAGCAGAAGTGCTCATCGAATCTGGAGAGATAAATATTCATGTCTCGGGATCGTTTTCCGTTCGTCTTTTGCGGGGCGTGCATTAGCAAATGGTCAATCTAGTCTCAGGTCGGTCGATATAAACGGAGTATGAGTACCCAAATGCGTACAAGGTCGTTATCTTAACGCGGCACTACTAAAAACGGGAAGAAGCGGCAAGAGAGGCAAGGGAGACGGTGAGGAGAGGATGAAAAAAGAAGAAAAGAGAGAGGCAAATAAGAGGAGCGGAGGTTGGAGAGAAGAGGACTTGGGATTGAGTTGTCCCAAGGTGCCGGATGAATCCTCCGTGAGCTCCTCGGGTAGGTTAGGTATGTTAACAAGTTAGGCGATACTAAGATAAGAATCCTTTGCGATCCTTTGTGGCCTCCACATGGTAACGCGACACCAGAACAACTCAGACCAAAACCAGACCGCCGCGTCGGCTACTCTCCGGCTTCGCCCTCTTCCATCTTCGTTTCTTCTTCACCTTGCTGCCGCTTTCGCCTTTCTCTGTTACCTCCGACAACTCTCAAAGAGCAGAACGATGTAGGAGCTCAATGAACACGCCGCTGGTAGCCGTAGGCAAGCGCCATTCCTCTCATTCATCCCAACAAGATCGCGATCTGACCTCCACTTTTTCGCCACACTGCTTTCTCACGTCGAAATTTTATCTTTCCTTTGATTACCACCACGTAAGCGTAATATCATTATTATGGTAATACGAGGTAAACTCTTTCGGTGATAATAATTATTGCACTTGATTTTTGCTATCGTTACTTAATTAAAAATATCTTGCTTTTGCTTCTGTTGCGTAATCAACAAGATTTTTGTTGGGTATCTAATTCTTCTACATGTCATCTTTTCTATATTAATTCCGATTAATTTTTGCATATTAGCCATATTTGTTGATTATTAGTTGATTTTCACGGATTTGCAATTGGAATTTGCGTAAGCACTTAAGTATTGAGTGTTTGACATGTCATGAAATTTCTTTGTTAATGGCACGTGTATTTACATGCAGAACTTATGCATTAAGTGCGTTAAGAACATAATGATTATAAATTTGTAAAGCTTTTCAAATTTTTTTGTTTACTATAAATCATGTTAACGTATTTTTTAATTCTTTACGATTGTTAAATCACTCTTAATTGAGATATATAAGAAATACAGAAAATACACATGTCATGCTTAATACGTAAATTTATAAATGTTGTATTAATAAAATAATAACTAAATATAATTATGCTTAGTTGAAATAATAAGAATCTTGATTGATTGTACGTTTATATAATACATAAATTAAGTGAGCCGATAAACAAATAATTTTTACCAATTATTCTTTATTTTGTTGCGTATGCTCTAAAATATAATCCAAGAAAATCAATTTTTCATTTCTTGTTAAAATTGACAAACCATTAATTTCCGTGTTGGCGGCACTTCCTTTGAAATTGAATGTTACAAAGTAATAAAGGAAAAAGGAAAACATGGTTTCAAAAACTTGTGAACTGAAGAATATATCGTACAAATCAGGTTTACGAGCCTTGTTGTGGAAGTGTGATCTTTCATTGAATCGTTGAGCGTGAACATAGGGCGTTACCAACAAAAAAATATCAACGTATGTCAGAATGTTTCTCTATTAGCTTTGAGTAGAACCCCCGTGGTGGTGAACCTCGTATCCTTTTCTAAGGTGGTCAAAACTGCGGGAGTCTTGGCCATCTTAGAGAGCTTTATAGGTCGCCGCATTCTAAAGCTAACAACATTGTGATTTTTATTAATTTTTCTTTTTTTCTCTCTTTCTTTAACAGTCAAACGTTAAATTTAATTGTATCAGTTAAAATATTAGGTGTTGGAATTAATTCGTAGCGTTTTAAATGAAAGAATATTATTTATTTCACATGAGCATTAAAAAATACATTAATGAAAGTACTTCCCATCACTTGTAAAACGCTACGAATTAATTCCAACACCTAATAGTTTTTATGAAATACTATAATATAATAATACTAAATAAAAAAATAAAAATTTTGTTTACTGTCTTTATGTTTATTTCTAACAGCACGTTTCGTCGAGAGCATGGAAAGAGGGGTGGGAAACTAAAGAAGACACCTACCTTCATAGGGAAACGACATAACTTCACGTCGCGCCCTAAACGTCCCCACCCCTGAGAGATCGTGAAGGACTTTTGAAGTTAAATCGGATCGAGATTATATGGCTCGATATCGTTCATGATGGAACGCAGCCTATTCTTTGGGGATTAACTGATTTTGACAGCCGCCATAGTTATCGTGCTTTTATACATACCGCTCTGTCATTGTCACTATTTTGTCAGGTATATTTCTCTATTGATATCAAAATAGCACTTCGTAGTTTGTTTGCAACTAGCGCGACTAATTAATTTTTTATTACAAAAATCAATTTAATATTTTCTTTTTTTTTAATAAAAAATGCAAACATTGTATTGTAATCAAATAATTATCGATTTTAATTAAAAAAAATATTAACAAACTAAGGATAAAATATTAAAAACTGAAGGTTAAATATTGTAATTGCTTACTTAAAAAAAGCTATGTAAGAAAGAAGAATGCAAGATAAAAAGCAGAGCGAGGAAGAAAGGAAGATGAAAAAGGAAAGAGATCAATCAGGGTGCTGTTGCATCCCTCTTCTCCTCCCCCACAAAAGAAGTCTAGTTCTGTTTCTTGCGTGCTCGTGTGCATCCGTGTCCGATCATGTTTCACGAGATTTTAGTATGTGTCCCTCGCGGGCCCGACAACTCAATAGCCACACACAACACCGAGGAACAAGACGCTCTCGGATTCATCGTGTTTGGTCCCGATGCTGAGTCCCTGGGGCTACTCAGGTAGGCCCCAACTAAATGACGAGGATAGCCTCCAATGTCCGTTCCTTTTTTCTCTTTCTATCTCTCTCTAAAACATGGCTTTTTCGTCTCACCTGAGAGTTAGAATCTTCTGTCGGACACCCCCTAGTCTCACTGGCAGTCGACATTCTCACGCTAATTGGCCGGCAGTGCCCTCCCTGTAATTTCATTAAGGGGGTCTCGTGCCCACAGTGAGTTTAAGGCCCCGCCAACGCGCCTGCCTCCCCTTCGTCTCTCTCTTTTTCCTTTCCACTAGATCAAATATTTACCAGGTTTGATGGCTTTACAGAGTCCAACAGAGTCGTGAACCGAAGAATTGGAAGCCGGTATATATCTTGAAGAGACTCTTCATATACTGCCGATCTGTCTAAGTTAGGTAACCAATCCATCGTTTAATTTCCTTTAGTTGCATTTATTTTTATCTATGTCGATCAATAGGTAAAACTTCCTACCTTATTGTATTAAATAACAGAATCCAACGAAAAAGATAAAAATAATGCGGATTCAATCATTAATCAGGTTCACACAATGTCTCATCAACCGAAAAAAAGGTGCACTCTTTGCTTTGGCGCCTTACATCACCTCTTAGGTAAATAATACTGTGACAATGGAATCGGATTTCACAGAGATTATCCTTACTTTGTAATCTGTTTGGGAGTTCGACTCCACGTGAGGTCCTGAATGCCACAAAAGCGCCAACAGCGAAACCTATTCGAGTAATCTACCAATTGTGTTGAGGTTCCTACCTTTATTTGTCACCCTATCTTCTTTTTTTTGCTTATTTTTTGTTACGCATATTTTACTTTTACAACAATTTGTCGTCAATACAAAATTATAATCCGTTCACATTTTTCCTTTGAAAACATTATTTTAATAAAGTGATATATTTAATCTATACTATTCATTTCATCTTTAATAAAATAACGCTGTTTAAGATTTACTAATTATTTACTATTTATATCTTTGTATTTGTTCCATTGTATGTATTTAGCTAAAAGATTTTAATTAATACGTACTACTATTAAATAGTTTTTCTGAGCCATTATTAATATGTAACATTCTTTTTTATAAAAATAGCATCATACTTTCTGCTAATATGATATTCTGCTGATATTTTCTGCTGATTTCTTTATTTATTACAGAAAAGTCGCCAATACTAACATAGGTCTCCTTAAAAAACACCTTATTTTTCGGAAATGTTGCACTTTTAATACTGATAAAAAATATGATCTCTTTAGATGATTAAGGAAGTAAAAATATAAAATTTATATTTGCGGCTTGTTTTTATATGACATTAGTTAAAAACGAATTCTAGAAATGCTAAAATATAATTTTTACGATTTTCTTTTATAAATTGCATAGTTTAAATAATGATGGCTATATTATTGATAATATTAGATCTTTTTGAATGTCTGTAGTTTCCTAATCTGATTTATATTTTTTTCTCTCTTATTTTTCTCATAGTTTTAAAGATAATCTGTAAAAGGAAAAGAAGAGAAATATAAATGCATTACTGCTTACTTATGTTAGTTTTAGAGCCCATTTATCAGATATTTATTTTTGCTTGTCTTATGAAAAAGTTAATTATTACAAAATGTAAATAATGCTAATTAATTTAACATATTATTGATAAATTTTCTTATAACATTATTTGAATTGCTGAACTTATTAGTTTTCGTGTAAAGCTCGAATGGATCTTCATCTTGGATCGTGTGAACAAACGATGTGAATGTTGGTCGCCACGAAAGGTCTCGCGAATGGGCGATATACGACTTCCTATCGACTTGACTTTGCCAACAGCCAGCGTCATCGCCAAGCTCACGAACCTCTTTACGATTTCCCAAGAGAAGAACCACCAGCAAGGTCTCATGGGCGGTCGTTTCGAATGCCTCTTGGTGAACAATGTGCCAGGGTGTGCATACAATTAACCGGCGCGTTGTCGACTTTGCACGTCCTGTGTAATTGCATCGCGTTTTGCTACGTTGTATGAGCCTCCTCCACGTTTCTTTTTCACGGTCTATGTGGCCCAAACGTGCCTGAGCATACGATCTGCTTGCTAGCGGAATCGCGAGTGACCATATTCTCACCCCGACAACTGACGAACATGTATGGATAAGAACTCTTCGCTTAATCGTTGCGTTTCCTCTTTCAAGTGACAGGGTCATAATGTTTAATAAGTAACGTATTTTGTATTATGCATACTGCATAAATTATTACATTGTGTCATTAATATATAATATATAAAATGAAAAAAAGTGAATATGTTATTTAAATTAAATAAAAATGTATATTTTTTAAAGTATATGATTAGATATTTTCAATCTCTTAATTTCAGATAGAATATTTACACAGATATATTTAAAATTATTTTACATTAATAATCTTGATTATTTTAATTTTATTTGTGTTAGATATAAAAATGAAACGTAAATCCATTCATATTATACGAATATCTTCTTTTTACTTTATTATATACATTGGCGATCCTCAATCTTATAAAAATCATCGCATTAGGATACTTGTAAAAACATTTATTAACGATAAATCTATTATGAGAACCTGAGATACCGAATTATTTTGATGATACAGAAGAAATCTTTTGGGGTATTAATTTCGTTCCATGTAATTTTATAAGTGGTTGGCGCCAGTGGACTGAAGCTTCTCAAATGACTGGTCGGCGTTTTTTTTTTTTTCAGATTGTCGGCACGTTAAAAATCGGGTACTGTTGTAGATCTCGTAGATCTCGGGAGAAGCATCCATAACTGACGAACCGTGAAATCACAATTTGCTCGCAGATTATGTTCGCTGATCGTCGAAGTTTGAGAAGCGTGAAACCGAGAGGGTGGAGCGTGACGCCACTTGATGCCGCTACTCAAGTAGCACGTGTATTTTCACACTATTGAGCTTGTTGTAAGTTAAAATATCTAAGAGGTAAATATCTATCCAATTAAAAAGGATACAGGTGAACATATGCAAGTGAATATTGTAATTTGATAATTAATGTGATATATTACTATTACTGAATAAAACCGAAATTCTGATAATGTTTCAGTTATATAATTTGTTTATATAGATATATGCATATAAATAATTATTATTACAATCAAGATGTATATAATATTCATGAACCTTAAACGTATGACATGGTACATTTTATCTCATATGAAACATTTATTGTAAAAAAATAATCTACTTTAGTTTGTTTAGCATTGTTTTTGGATTATTTACATTAATCCTGATGTGAAATGATTTAAAGAATTTTTAAGACAGATCGCTTCACACATCGCTGATCATTGTTGGTGTCTCAAATTTATCATCACTTGTTAATCTTTAAATGCTCGGTGGTTTCAATACAATAATAGTCGACCCTCTTATGGACTAACGAGAAACGAGATCTTCTCGTCACCCAAACACTACTATCGACTAAACTATTGCATGTTGCATCTATTATTGTCGCGTATAGAATCGATCATTGCTGCTTAATTTTTATCAAAGTTATCCCCGCACGATTCAGTTTACTTACAATTTTATTTTAATTGACATTTAAGCAAAATAAATAATAAAATATAATTAAAAATGGTAACAAATTTGCCAATTTTTAGTACATGTATAATAATTTTTATTAAAATCATTATATTACAGTTTATTAGAAAGATTAGGGGAGAACGGAAAAGAGAAATAAAATTTTAAAAATTAATATTTTATGTTTTAAAATCCTTAAATTTTTTATATTGATTACTAATGTTCACATATAATTTTAGAGTATCAATGTCTTTCCAGTATAAAATATTAAATTAATTATTGCTATGTCTGCAAACTTAATACGTTAAAAGGGTATATAAATAGACTTGTATGATAAAAAAATATTTAAAAGATAAGAAACTGAATACAAGAAGTAACGTTACAATTTTCGAAATTATATAATTTTTTCAGAAAAAATGACAATAATTGGTCTTTAGTTAGTGTCAAAATTTCGAATGCATAACACGTTTGAATCTAGATAATATGGAAAGAAAGAAAAGACTTTAATCTTTTCTACTGGGCCGCTTTATACTTTACTACTCAGACCGCTAATATATTATCGCCGTAACTGTAATATATTTGACGTGAGTGTCGGGAAAATTAAAGCAATTCTTCTGCTGGTACCGCCGGTGGTCCAAGATCGCGAGCCGAAAGCAGGTCTCTCTCATGGTAATCGGAGATGCTTGGATACAAATATGTGCGCATTAATAGAGAGCGGCTCCACAAGGAACAGGTCTCAGGTCAGTTGAGAAAAAAGTATCAATTCGCGCGGATCTAGTCTTTTTCGCAAGTACGAGACGAATTAAAATTTGACTTAGATCAGACAGATAGTTTTGATCTAAACAAACGTTAAATTTGTATTTAAAAATTATGTATTACAGATTTATTAAAATGTACAAAACAACTCAAAGAGCTTCATATTATATTAAGTAAATCTTTTCGATGTAAGCCTGCAGAGGATAATTTTGAATAGATATGTCAATGAAGAGCTATTTATTTCTTTACAATCGGCGAATATCTGATACAGACAGTTAACCGTCTTCGCTATTCATTCTTCTTTTTTTTGAAGATATTCCCACTCCTTGAAGGGGACACTCATCGGTACAACGTAAATCTCTCCGACATGGCTTCTCAAAGTAAGGAGTGGGAGGATTGGAAAAAAGGGATGAGAGAGAGGTACAAGACGGGATAGGATAGAAGAGGACTTAAGACCCCCCATGGTAAAACCTCGCACTTTCCCACATTTGGGTGATCTCGTTTTATCCTGCCGACGAAGTTCCTTTTCACCTATGCATATTTTGTACTGTTTGGAAACGGATTTTTGGAAGATAAAACTATCAAGAATGTCCAAAAACTAAGCTCAAAGAAAATTTAAATATATACAGAGTGCAAGTTTAAATTTATTTTACAATATCTCTTTTTCATTATTTTCTGTGTTAATTATGTAATAGAAAAATGAAGAAAAGTTATTAACAGAAGAAAGAAACTGAAATTGATGTTCATATCAATAACTCCAAAGTTTTTAACATAATCATATGATGATTTAAGTATAATACATGTATGACTCAGTCTCAATCAGGCCTCACGAATCTGCGTATACCTGTATACCTGTCCGAAATAGCTTCCCTCTTTCGACCGGATGTAATGTGATTTTTTGGAATTCCTGTCGGTCATTTCACGAATGTTAACATCTGATGGTTGACCGTCGACAAGATTAAAAATTAGATCGATTTATAACTCAGAAAAAAAAATGTTTGAAGATATTAGATGAGTGATATATAGTTATCTTTCTTACTGTTTTTCACCTTGAAAAGTTTTCGAGTGTTACTTTACTATTTTTAAAAAACTTATTTTCTGCAGTGACCTTTCCTTCAATTGTGACAGTTAAGTAGTGTGAACCTTACAATTTTTTTTCCATGTGCTATTCTGCCATTCTTTCAGTGTTATAATAATTCATTCTTTATGTATCATTGTATCTTTTTCTAAAAGAAGAATAAATAGAAGTTCAAAATCATATTTTAAAGAAAAAGTAATTTAATATTTCTTTTTTAAAATATAATTTATTGGATGTGATAAACTTAAAAGAACATAAATAAGACGCTAACGGAAATTATAATTTATAATGGGTAAGAATGGAAATATTAAATATTTTTAAAATCAATTCTTATGCAAATGAGATTTGTGATCCGTTTTTGATAAATCGTATTCATGATGATGAATGTACAAAAGTCTACAAATTATATCTTATATGATTACTATACTACTTCGCGAATAATTAATTTAATATAAAAATATAAAATGATAACAATGTAAAAATACTAAAATGCCAAAATAGATACAGACACATATTTTTGTCTTTATAATATTAATAATATAAAAAGTTATAATAAAAAATTAACATTTTTTAACAGAATATAAAATCTTTGCATTATTTGCTTATGTGGCTTGTTATAAATTCATATTTATCATTTCCATAATTTTGTGCTTTTCATAATTTTCAAGCCGTTATCGCAGAGAATCAAATCCAGCTTGGGAAAGAACGTTCTAATCAGTGAAGAATCGACATAGTTGCACGTGTGCATCCGAGGGAACGGCAGTAAGGGTGTCGCCGTTCGAAAAATGAGAATGCATTACCTCGACGCCTTCTCTCAGAGTTCTCGACGAGATCGACGTTGGTGGCTCTGCGGATAGCACCGGAGTCTGGATCTGGATGCTATTACCAAGGCAGAAGCGACCAAGAGAGCATCCCACAAGCTCGATGGGGAAGAAGGCTTCTCTTCTCGCTCTCGGCAAGGCATTCCAAAACAAAGAACCGCGATGCTGGTTCAACGGTGGACAATATGTAAATCAGTGGCTGGCCGTGGTCACGATGTCGCGACCTCGTCGTCCCGCTTCGAGCTACCTTTTCAATCCTTCGCCACCGCTGCCACTACCAGTTCGACTCTGCTTCCCCTAAGAGTCTAGAAGATGTGTAACCACGCGTAATGGTCGCTGAAAGTTTCATTTGTAAAAAACATTATGGAAATAATTGAGAGTAAGAGCAGGGGTTTTATAATACTTTTAATATAATATTATTCAAATATAACGTTAAGATCATATTTACTCTATTTAAATATAAATATCTAACAAATATTTAAAATGTTAACCTATAAAAATGAGAACTTAATAAATTTAAATTTATTATACATATAAGTTTATATAATGTTTTATGTTTTAAAAAATGTATCCTAAAATTGCACTTTATTTAAAATTATATTTTTAGCGAATTATATATTTTTATATGCTTTTTTTAAGAGACTGGATGATATGCATTTGACAAAACATTATTATAATGCATTATTATGTTGCATGATAAGTCATTCTCTCGTAATGCACAACTTTTAAAAGCAACCAGTTCAGTCAATTTGTTCAGTCAATTTTGGTGCATCGTCTGAATTGAAACCTCCTCCATGCGGATATGGCTGATGACGCATGCACCGGTTAGGATGGCTTTAGTTCCCATGCATTTCGCGAGAACGATCGACAATTTACCACGACTCCACGGCCAACTTCTTGATCGTTCCTATCTACGGCAATTAGCTGTTAAAAGTGTTCGTGTGTTTCACCGGTTATCGCTGTCCCACCCACATGCTCGAATCCACACGTTATCTCGCGACAAAATGCATCTCGTTCGACCGGAACAACTTGCCGAAAACGATGGCCCCGAGCTGCCGCGGTAAAAACGCCGTCCGTGTACAAGGCGATATCGATGTTGCGAAAGAGTGGTATTTCCATAATGTCATTCGTCCCTCTTCATTCGACTTAACAGTCCTTCTTTTTCTTTTCTTCCGACCGATATCTGCGTTGTGTTCACTCTTCTAGGAAGCGGTCTCACAGTTCCCATGAACGGTACCTCTTTTCTCTGAAGCCATCTTACCATTGACCGAGAGAAAACGCGTTGCAATCGCTAACACGAGAATTATAATTTGTGTTTTTATGCTTCTAATATGTATTTCCTATTTTGTAATATAATACCAAGAGAAGATGCTTTTCTTTACTTTTTTAAGTATCTTTTCTGTATAGATAATAATACATACTTGCTCGCATCCATGAATATTTTTGTACGAAATAATATCCATCTTTTTAAATATTCTGTGCTCGCACTTATACTTAATTATATTTTAGCAAAATCTATTTTCAGCGAAAAAAGGATAGAAACAATTACATGCAAATTTATTGATTGAGGAAAATAATATTCATTATTTATCAATGTCAAATTTTATCTGCTCAGATATGTAAGAGAAAAATTACAGACAAACATGCGAAACGTAATGTGAGTATATTTTAAAAACGAATAGTTTTTAAGCAATTGTTGTCATTAATATGTATTTAGCTGTGATGAGATACGTGCACGCGTTTTGATGACGAAATAAGAATAGACTCTTTGTACTAGCCTGTCGGCTAACAAGGCAAAATTAGTTGTGAAATAAATCTAGACTGTTTTAGAACGTAGTACCCATGTTAAGAGGGCGGGGGATGGAACCTATTAGCACAGCACCGCCCCTCAATCAGCAACAGTTAAGGATGACAGTATATACCTCGTTTTTCTCAGGTTATTTTGATTAGTGACTACAAAATTCAATTTCCTTACATTTTCGCTGTTATCGAAGGAAAACAATTAATAATGTATGGAGTATAATTACTTTATAAAAAGAATATTGTATACAAAAATGTAAAAGTATATACGAAAACTATATTATCGATTTTATATTTTTTTCTTATGAATGAAATAATTTCTATATAAATAATTTCTGTATATAATAATGAATGAAATACTCGAGTGACATTTTGTTGGCATAGTCGAGTGTCTGTTTCTAACAATGCCGCGGTAAGCTGCGAGAACTACTCAACTTTTGGAGTCTTTTGTCTCGACATTATTGAAAGTTGTCTTGAGGGCCACTAGGAATATAGTGGGAGGACGCCCTCAGGGTATTCGAGAATGGCGACGAGGCGAGGACGAAGAAGGACAAGGCGAGTTACATAGCGAGTGAAGAAGAAGAATGAATGGTGAGTGGCGAAGACTCCCTGTAGCTGTCCATGCGGGCGCACTATCCTAATTACAACGAGGTCTGGTATACTTTTTTTTTCAAGTTGAAAGGAGCCGAAGTATTTGCCCGAGGCAATGGCGGGGGCTAGATTCCGGACCACTCTCAGGACTCATTTGGAGCGAAGTGCAAAAGGATCACCGTCGGCACATCGCCGCCGTTGATGGAACAACTGAGAAACATCAAAGAATACTAGTAGGAGAAACGAAGAAGAGATGAAGCATGTTTCGTAGTATGAAAAAAACATCGCAGTTTTCCCAGCCATTCATAGCGTTGACCGATCTTTTCGGCCTCTTCTCACGTCTCATTCATATCTTACCCTATAAGATTCGATCGTCGATCCCTACCTGTGCCACCGGCGAAGACACTGGCGCACCATTCTTCTTTGACGCTCTCTCCGACGGTATGTATACGCCAGACTTTTCGAATTCCATTGCAGGAGACTCATCGACTGCTATCAATATTTTATTCGTTTAGTATAACAAATATATTTTGTAGTCGGTATCATCTGATGCAATTATTACAGCGTATTATTTATTATATTGTACAATTATTATAGTGTTGATTGATATTATTGCATTAAATATAATGTACATTTTGATGATTAATTTATGTTATTATTAACATATTATTTTAGATTAATTATTTTAACATGCATTTATATTTATAAATAGCAATATAGTATATTATCATATGCATACGCAGTTTAAAAATATTTTCCAAAAAGGAATTTATAGTAAAAAATTTTAGCTAAGTATTGTATTATTACAAATTGAAGAATATCGTTCTTTTTTTTTCTACACCAAGCAATTATCCCAACTCCTGAAATAAAATTCTAGAATCGCCCTTCGGCTGTCAAACGCAACGTAGATGGGCTAACGATCTTAATGGCTAGGCAAAACATTGACACCTTGGCGGCGCTCGGGAGACCACCTGGATGAAGATACCAAGGGAAGGCGGGTAGGGATAGTTAAACACAGAATCAGCACGAGAGAAGTGGAAATCCTTATGAGAAAGTAAGTTGGACGAACGATGACAATGAGCTAACAGCGTGCGCAAACACGGCGGCTTGGGACAGAGCCGTACCTGGGCCGATGATCATGTACTTACGCGTTTCCTCTCAAACACCGACGACGTCAACAGCTCCGGAGACACGGCATCGAACACTGATCATGGGAAAAGGCAAATCCCGTTTGGTCAGGTTGAAATATTCGAACCGAATACTCGAGTAACACGTGCCAATGATCGAAGAATTGCTTTGCTAATACACTTATTAAAAAGCAAATAATGAAATATGTAGAGATAACATAGCTAGAAAATTGTTAGGATTAGGATTTATTACATGTCAAATTATTAATTTTGATTTATACACATTTCTTTGTGAGGATTTTGAATTTTTTTTTCTTTTTAAGAAATCGTATTGAGGGGGAAAAAAGGTAGTATTGAAATAACAACGAACGATAAGATATCGAACGGTCTTTGGTTTAATATGCTACAACAGAATGGGCATTCTGAGGAGAGAGAAGCCCGTATTTTCAGATTACATATTCATACATAAAATTGTATAATTTACAGTTTATTACTATATTAAACTATATTCATCAGATCTTTTGTGTACAATATATGAAGCGATCGCACTAGTTAATCCAAATTTAATTTATCTTGTGTCGCGATATTATTAAAATTTTATTTTTACGGTCTTGTACATCTCCTTATTTACAATTATTGGAATTTTTTAATTTTACGATAAATGAAAACATTCATTTAGACCGTATTTAACTTTTTATGCTAATTATTTATGTGTTCCATGCATTTTTACAAAATTGTGATAAAAAGAGACAGAGAGATCAATTCAAAATCTGTAAAAGTTATCAAATATCTTTTTAGAAAGCAAATATAATATCAGTCAATTTTTAAATCTTCAATTACTTTATTTTAAAAAAAAAAAACATTTTTATCAAAATTTATAAAATAACTTTTGTGACGAGATTTTTAGTCTCTAAAAAGAATATTTACAAAATTAATTAATTTATTCATTATATATACGCGACATAACGTATCAATATTTATAAAAATCTATAAACTATTTTCATATTTTAAAATAATAAAATAAAAATACAAATAATAATCAAAATTTGATACAAATAATAATACATAATATAAGTATAATATAAGCATAATATAAATATTTAGCTGCTATTTCTTGTTTTCTCCTTTTCCTATTTTTTCTTCTTTTTATTGTTTCTCTCTGTCTCTTTTTTTTTGTCGAAACGGAAGCAAGCGTGGA